ATATATACAAATAATAATAAATGCCAACAACAAATACTAACTTGAAAAAACAATTTTTTTCGTCAATTTTTTCAAAAATGGTCGTTCTGACAACGCAGCAAAAGTATAGTTCCACCGAACAAATCGAATATTCCAACAATTAGGTGTTTTGGACCCAATTCTACTTGCACTCCTACGATGTGTTTTCACGACGGCTAGGCAGACCATACAACAAGGGATAGCCGATGTACGAATCAGTTGTTTTTTATCCTTCCGTGCGAATCTGGAGCTATTTTATCGTCGGGAGTACACGCCTTGTTTAGCTTGCACGCTAAGCCAGTTCAGGAATGGAACTGCGCACAGCCGCCTGATAATCGTGTCATACGCCACTTCACCACCCCCTCCTGGTAAGAAACATGATGGATGGTGGAAGGAAAAGTTTCAAAAAATCGTCAAGGTGTGCAGAGAGTATGGATGAAGTCTAAACTACCACTCACATAACCGTCAGGATTGGGTGGCCTGTGTTCGGCGGGCGAGCATGGCATGGAGCGCATTCCTTCTCTTGTTGCGTTGGAATGAACAGTCAATGCCTGGCATATCTCTCATCAGTGAACCTGATCAACGATTTTCAACCATTACCATCATGCCTACTGTTTCAACACTTAAACGATTCAGGTGGTCGTAATAAAGAACATTGATTATGTGCACACATGAAAGATATGTCAGGCATTAATTATTCATGCACTTCAATACAACAGGAGAAAAAACAAAAGAAAACAAGCCATGATGAGGGTCAGTAAGGTAAACAATTCTGATCATTTCTCTCTGGTGTGCTCTGAGAAGGAGTTATGGTATTTAAAATTTTCCGAAATTGAGGCACGCTCCGCTCATGGTATTTATGCTCTGTACTGTGGCCCAATGCTATGCCCTTTCGGGGTAGATCGAACTCTCGGACAGACCAACAAACAACTAAAACAGACAAAAGCAAAAAAGGCGTAGGAATTGTATCGATTGTGACTTTTGCTGCATTTCTGAACGGGATCCGATCACCATTGGTGCAAGGCAGCCAAAGGTGGGCTTTTTCCGGTTTTCTTGTCAACGCCCTAGGCCATTCTTTTGCTTCTGGAGGTATGGTATGAAAACTTCTCCTTTCGTATCACATGTACACTTCAATAAATGAACTAAAATTCTTCGCGGCACGCTCGACTACTGCTTGTCATTCATTTAGTTAAGGTCACATTAGTCTTCGAATGTGCGTTAAGTTGTAGGACGAATATCGTTTATCATTTTTCTTATGGCATTGTTCTGCAGGAGTATCTTGCTGGAGTCATCTTACCTACCTCTGGTATTGATCTGGCGATTTGCCATTGGATCTACAACAATGCACAATCGATAGAGGACTTATTTGTATATGAAGCGTGCATTAGAGATTTGATGGGAAATAGCACCACATTTGGGAGGATCAAAATTTTACCTAAGGTGAGAAACGACGTAAAATCAGATCACTTGAGACAGCATTGGATTCGTTTCGACGTCTCTGACCCCACAAACGTGAAGAGCAATCCGCCCTCTCTGTAGATTGATGGTGAGGTAACCATAATAGCTTTGGCTCAATTTTATAACGCTCAAATGATCCTGTTCGGCACACAAAGGGAAACCACAGGAAGCAAATTGGGCACTCCAATTAGTTCCAGTAGCAGTCGTGCAGCACTTTTTTGTGAAAATCGCTTTCAATTGACAGTAGGAGACTGACTCCTTGCCCTAAACAGCTTTATTTATTTAACCACTTTCTTGTTTTTTCCACTGTCTTTTTTATTTTTTTCCTTCCCAGAAGCAGTCTTCACAAAATATTCTGTTGGTTAAGGATTTTTTCAGCAGTTTTACAGATGGGTGCATTCACCCTATTCGGGAATCGCCACCACTAAGGAATAAAGAAGCATATGTAGCGCTATTTCTAGTGGAACCGCATGGGCCCCGACGCCATGGGTACAAACAGCAAATGAGTGAGAAAGCGACTTTATGCTGCCACCAGCCTGCGAAAAAAGAACACCTCCGATCCTACAAAACAACCCCGATACCGTACATAAATTTTCATGTTTTCTTTGGGAATCTGTGTTCTTGTATACGAAGATTTCGTCACAAGTGACTGAATTTTTTTGCAGAGTTGTACCAGAACTGAAGACTCCCGCTCATGGGATCGTGATATGGTACAATCCCTTAGCCGGACCCGTGATGCAGTCGCTCTGCACAAAGGGGTATAATTGATGTCGTCGCAATCTGTAGGGGCGGTATCAGTAGAAATGCGATGAGTTCGCCCGCCTGCGTTTTACGCAGTAGTGATTGGTTAATGATCGGTAAATTCACTAAGAAAACCACCAGTGATGAAAGACGCCGTGGCATGGTCATTCCATGCTTTCTGACACTGCCTGATTGATTGCGACGATATCAAAAAAACCGAGCACCTAATTTTTGTGATCACAAAGTCATTGAATCTACAATACTTCACTCAGTAAGTGAAAGTCATTTCATTCAGAAACACAACATGGCACTACGACAATAATCTGATAGCAACTCCCAGAGAAATCAAGGAGCGGATGCTAAATTGTTCAAAAGCTGTCGAAGAAGAGCGGGCGGTAGCGATGTCTAAGGTTCGAAAGCTAAGAAAAAGCTGGCTGACTATGGAAATTTGGAACGTCTCCAGTCTCGAGCCTTATCTCTAAAGCTTTGGTGGAAGTGCACTGTTTTTCTAGATGCTTGTTAGAGCTGAAACTAGTAGGGCCTGTGTACGATAGTTGTCATTGATGATGTCAGTCGGATGTGTCAGGGCAAATGGGTTTTGGCGATACGCTGGCCCGTTTTCGACTATGGCTCCGGTTTCAAGCGTTCTAATGACGGAAAAGGGGCCGGCGCCGTGCTGAAACTCATGCCGCTGACACGCCCCTGCAGACCTAAATGATAAGAACTATAACGACCTAGGCATCATGCACAAGAGATATTAGTTCCGAATGTCATGATTTCAGAAATTCATTGCTGGAATGTAATAGGAAAAGACATATTCAGCGGTCGAATCGTCGTACCTTTAACAGCAGCGTTGGACTCAGAAATGCCATGCGTTTTGCATAAAAATAAACTCAGTTTTATCACGGATGTGATGATTGGTGGAGTCACCTTCCGCCATGCCAATTCTATGTTATAGATATTGACACCAAAACGAATAAGTCATAATATGAGTTAAACAGTTTGATGTTTTGAACGTAGTAATGTATGGTGCCGGAACGGCCACTTTCCGAAAGATTATGTGGAAAAGCGTTAGCGAATCGTATAGTTGGAAAAGCTCAATTTTCCCGAGACTTACTGATCGAATAAACTCTTCGTCGTTAATGAATCTTTTCTGAAACGTGCACGCATTCTGCTTCCATTCAGAGTCGCAGTGGATGATTGAATGCGTTATGGCCTGTTCGAGGAAGTGCCAAGGTCAGCTATGGGGCAAGCTGCTGTTTTTGCCCTCCAAGACAGGCTATCTAGCAATTTGCTGTCCCGGAGAAGTAGAAGAATTCGCTGGCCCGGGCAGAGTCGATCCGGCACTCGACTCCGGAACGTGCTTGTAATAAGCAGGCCACTTAGTGCTGCACCACGTCCTGCTCCCCAAGACTTACAAATCTAGGAAAATACCGCTCAGTAGGGTCAGTGTTTAACAACGTCCCCTACTGGTAGTTTCAACTTCTTCACATCTAAATCCAATGAAATCTTCCACTTTTATTGCAGGCATGATAAACACGACAGATGTGAGACGGCTCGGTGACACCTTATCACATGTACCTTCCCAATACCATATCCTGGGTCAAATTTCATTTATGCAAATCAATTCTTCAATCCTTAGTGGACTGCTTTTCGTAGTCTGGCAAGAAAGGAGGCTCAATCATCCCATACTTTCAAAATAAAAATCCTGATAAACAATCGAATGACCTTTTACAATGAATAGGAGAAACAGGAAGAGAATATTTATCAGGATTTTTATTTTCAAAATATGGGATGATTGAACCTGATACACCTCTTTTCAGGCGCTCCCATCGTCATTCAATTCGTCCATGATACTATCGTTAAGTAAAGTAACGTTGAACTTCCACCACGATAACTGTTAAAGGCAGTTGGCACGATGGTTTCCTACTTAGGGCGCTGTATAGTGGGGAAATGGCGAAAGAACGGAGTGAAACGGTCAAAATCCTGCGAAGAAAAAGCCTCCGTTCTCAGTGACTTGTAAATCGATTTCGAGTTTCCCGTAGGCATCTTACCAATCACCGCTACCGAAGATACGGCTGCATATGTGTACCCATGTATGCATGCAGCATCACGGCCGCTTCATACCAATCCCTTCGCTTCATAATTTGCTTAGCAAATGAATGAATACGAGCGTCAGGAACGGTCGTCCATTTGTGGGCGGGCGGGCGTGGCGGGCGTTTGGGACGTAAAGTTGTGGCTTGATAGGGCCCTTATAAGGGCACCTTCCTCGGGGAAACCGCTATGCAGCGCCTGCCCAGGGTCGCGGAATTCTATCCTGCCAGGAGTATTGATCCTAGTCGTCTTGGGGATTTATCGTGCCAACTGCCTTTAAGAATAGGTACTCGGAGGCCATTCAGCACATATACCATTTCCACTTTTAACTCACCTTTTTTCAAAACAAATCCACCTCTTTTCAAACCAAATTTACCACTTTCCGATCAATATTCACCACCTTTTGAACAAAATCCACTACCTTTACGTCAAATTCACTACACTTTTTAGACCAGACAGTCAACTGACCAGATCGCGCTCAACCCCACCTACAATACCCACCCCAACGGCTCCGTCTGCTTTCCAGCACAGTCATAAATTTTCAGACATTATTCCATACCTTCTGCTTCTGCGACTTTTTAGCACTTTTGCTCTTTTGCATAGACAGGAATTGAGGAGGACTGCACATTAACACGCGGGTGACCCCGCCCATCTTTAGGAACTTGCCACGGATTTCGAATTTTATAACTTTTTTCAAAGTTGTTCTTTTCAGACTAACTCTTTACACAGCAAAGGTAACCATAGACAAGCACTTATGCAATGACATACTAAGCTTAGCCCAATACTTTTTTGCTGAAATTTCAACCCTTTTTGATAATTCTTCTGGGCTTCACTACTGTATAGTTATCCAGTTTCGCGATTTCCTCAACGAATTCGATCTGTTTGCTTGGAGCTTCTGGTGTATCATGTCTCTGCCTGATCTGCGTTCCAGACTGTTGACTTATAGATAACCAGTCGCCTCGCCGGCTGACGCCGGCGCGGCTCCTTCTGATACGGCCCGGCTGCGCCGGGCGGGCGCGGCTTCGCCGCGCGTACCTTCTTTCACATA